ACAGACAAGTTGCTGTCCTTTTGTTCTTCAGTCTAGTTGTGGAGGACGTTGCTTCACTGGCCCATGTTGGTATTATCATTGCACTCTTTCCGAGTGAGGCAGTTCGGTCTCCGGTCTCTGGATGGCTGCTTAAGGCGGCTCTTGGCAGCTCACACCGGCTGCCAGCCGCTCACACTGACTGCCAGCCACACATGGTAGCTTATGGCAGCCCACTGCAGCAGGGGCTGCAGCCTATGATGTCGCCGGCGACTCACGGCAGCCCAGCTCCAGGTCGAGCTGTTGTTCACCATCTTAGCTGTGTCACTGGCCCTCATGTGGGATCTGAACCGGGGCCCTGCTGCTCAGAGTTAGCGTCCCAAGCCAACTCTTAACCAACGCGCCACTTGGCTGGCCCTGTTAACAAAGTTTTAATGTGAAATGAATTTTTATTGTTGAATCACATGCCTCTGAATACTAAAATTCTAAATGGAAAAGTTGGCTCTAAGTCTGTACACTTGTATTGACTACTGTGCCTGTTTAGGGATGGCTGTATAAATTATTTTTTTACGTTGTTTTAAACATCTAACAGTTTCTATTTTATGTAGCTCTACTATACTTAAATTTATATTTATACATGAAATCCACCTGTGTTTCTTTGGTAGTGCTCAGTCATGAGTGTTTTAGTTTTTTCCCTACTCTGTATAGTGCACATTGGTGTTTTAAAAATTCTATTACTTTTCCCTCCTATTTTTAAATTTGCTTCTTTGGCAAAGGTAAACATGGGAGAGTATTAATTCTATAGTATTGTTAACTGTCTCTGGATAATGGGCTTACTTTCCTTTTTCAGCTTTGAATCTACTAGTAAAGTTGGGAAATGTTAAGGTAAATCTAAGATATATTTTGAAAGCAAGTAATGGAAACATAGAAGCTTTACTATATAAAATAATCTTATTTATCATTAGTATAAATTTAATTGTATATTCTGGGATGTAGCTAAAATAGAGGAAAGTAAAAAATAAGTGAACTTGAGGAAAACTTAGTGTTGGCATATAAGTAAGTTTGTATTCTCAAAATTGATTAGCCATGACATTTTATTCTAAAACATGCCTTAAGATAAATAAGCATGTTGGCATGTATTTTTTAGACTTTGTTAATCACTAAATATGAGATACCATTATAAAATTTTGAGTTTTTAATTAATACTATGCATTGTGATGTATGATTTACCATTTTGAGTTAGACTCATTCTTCCAATTCCTAGTCCTAGGAAATATGTATTAAATTGACATGGTTAAAGCTCATTGATCATCTCAAAGACAAGTGATTTCCAAAATGTTCCAGATTCCTTAATTATTTGTTTAAACCTCTCACGTATATTTAAGTGGCTTTGAATTTATTTACATTTTTGTTTCGCTCTTTATTTTTTATCTTTTTGTGAGAAATAAATTTGTTTTGTACAGGTATATCATATTTATTTAAAATTTCTCCTATTTTTGAAAATTAGTTTTTCTTCTTTTAGTTTTTTTTTCCCAGAGGAATGAAACTGCACATAAAGCTTTGACCACATATCTGATAAATTCCTTAGGAATTATTTCTGTATTTGCAAATATCTGATTAAGGGGTTTAAACTTTTTTAAGGCCTGTGATCTGTATTGCCAGATTGTTTTCGGAAAGGTTTAACCAGTGCAAATGCTTATGAACATTTAGGGGAGTACCTGTATTACACTCTTGCTTTCTTTAAATATGATCATGTTTTAAAAATTACCAACTTCTTGAGCAACAAATAATACATGTTTTAATTAACATTTATCTGATTATTAGATTTTTTGAAAATATGTTCACTCATCATTTGTTCTTTGAAAAATCCATTCAGGTTTTTTTGGTTGAATTTTTAATTGGATTAATTTTATGGATTATAGCATATATAGAGGGTGCCAAAAAATGTATACACATTTTAAGAAAGGAAAAAACTGTATTAAAATTGTAATATTCAATATATACTGGTAACAAAAGATGAATACAAGTCATGTTTGACTTCTGCAATTACAAGAGGTGCTCAAAATGGTTACCATCAACATAATTTTAATGCAGTTTTTTTCCTTTCTTAAAATACGTATACATTTTTTGGCACCCTCTGTATATCATATATAAAATATATGTTTTAAAGATATGTATATATTTGTACATTTTATGTATATATATATATACACACACGTGTATGTGTGTGTGTTTGTGAGTATGTGTATAAAATTGAATCTTTGTTTTGATTTTGCTAAGACTGTTTATCACTGGCACCATGCAATATTTAAAAGGATGTGGTAGAGAAATCTCAAATGAAGAAGAGTTTGGCAGGCCTACACTGTACATTTCTCTCCTCCCTTCTAGCTCCGCACGATTTTCTTACCTCTTCATGGTCTATTTAGTGTATCATTTTTAGGTCAGTTGTAAGAAACCTGTACTCTTATTTGAATATGGCATTTTGCACTCCTCCCCTCCACAATACAGCTTTATTCCCCTTAAAGTACAATTTTTTTTTCCTTTAGCCCTAAAAATATGATGATTGCCATTACTTCTTTTTCATGTTTCATAGACACTCAAATACCAGTTAGTCAAAATAAACCTTCCAAAAGACTTGACATTATGGCTTAATTGGTTTTATTCCATGTTTATAAAACAGCAGGAAACCATTAAACTGAGGCTGTGTTTATATTTCACTGATGTCTATTTCTGTGAGGAGAACTTTGATTGGCTGCTATATATCCTATTTGCTAGTAATTAATCTTATTTCTTTCTTATAATTGATTGATGTTATAAATTTTGTCATGTTTAAATATCTTATTTAAAATTTGTTTGAAAAACTTTCCTGAACATATATTGCTGTTGGTTTTCCATATTTGACAATAACATTTTTATTATGTCCATATTTCCATATTTATAATATTAATAATTGTCCCTCTAGCTTATTTTTTTAGGACATATATCTATTTTTTTTGGTTAATAGAGCCGAAAAATGTGATTGAAGTTTTACTAAAAAGTCTTCAATGAAGATTTTTTTCTTGGTTGTGAGAGAGATCTTTCTGGTTTTGGGGAGTGTACTATCATACTCTTAACATTATAGAGTGGGTACATTAGATCCCCCTTGTCTACTGTTTCGCTTTCCATGGTTTGTTACCTGTGGTCAAACATGGTTTGAAAATATTGAATGGAAAATTGCAGAAATAAACAGTTCATAACTTTTAAATGCACACCATCTTGAGTAGTGGAATGAAATCTCACTTCACCCTGCTGTAAATGCTACTTGCCCATTAGTCACTTAGTAGCTGTCATGGTTACCCGATTGACTTGTGGTAATGCAGTGCTTGTGTTCAAGTAACCCTTATTTTACTTAATAATGGCCCCAAAGTGCAAGAGTAGAGATGCTGACACTTCGGTTATGCCAAAGAGAAGGCTTCAAGTGCTTCCTTTAAGTGAAAAGATATTTATGTTTAGGAAAAACATAGTACATATGGGGTTTGGTACTCTCCAGGATTGTAGGCATCCACTGGAGGTCTTGGAACATATCCCCTACAGTTTAGGGGGAACTACTGTATTTTGGTTACATAACTTTCTTTCTGGAGTTATCTGGAAATGTAGTGTGACTATATCTTTTCATTATTGTTTCTATTTGCATTTACATCATTTGACTTAATATATGTCTAAGTTTTATTGTTAATAGCAAAATTTAATTCTTAAGATTTTAGAATAAATTAATATTTTGGCTTAAATATTAGAAATGTTTGGGACATTACTGTTTCTCTTATGGTACTCTGTTTAAGACTGTTGACATTTCCTTACTCATGTTAAAATGTACTCCCTTTGAACATGATTTTGTTGTTTTTATTTTTTCAAAATATAGATTCATACCTTAGTAGAGAGTTTGAAACTTTCCATCACAGATCAACAACTGCCTATGTTTATCCGTATAATGCAACTTGGGATTGCGCTTTACTATGGAGAAATAGGGAATTTTAAAGAGGGAGAAACAGAAGACTCTACCTGTCACAATAAAGATATGTTAGGAAACATTACAGGTAAATATAATAAAAATTTATTTTAGAGCTATTGTTCTTACAAAATGTTTTTACTTTTTGAATCGTGAAATTTTTGAATCATTTGAATCATTGTGAAACTTTAAAAATACATTAGATTGAGTTTTGCAGTGTTCTAATGTGACGGGATGATTTTATTTTGGTTGTATGACACCACTTTGATTTTTAAATTTTTTACATGCTGGATACTATTTTGATTTTCTTTTTTCTGCAAGCTAAAAAAACTTTGTTATTTCTAATATGTATAAGTGTTAGAATGTATATTATATAAAAGTTAAGGTAGTGCAACCTCCAATTATAGTATTGGTAATTTTTCTGCAAAGGTTCACAAAACTCATTAAAACTAATTGAGTTATATATACTTAATACTTAATTATATATAATTAATTATACTTAATTAACTATGCTTTACTGAGGATACCTAATTAATTAATTGGAGCACTAATTAATGAAATATTTGCTTCATTGAAGTATATCTAGTGGATTAACTTCAGTTACTCAATTCATTATTCTATTAAGCATAGTATATGTATACATTATTGTTGGTAATGTGGGAAAATATAGAGATGAAAAGATGTGTGCTTTTACAATTTTAAGATATAATGGAGTGGACAGACATGTGAACAGTTAAATATGAAGTATGGTAGAATGATAGTATGTTTGATTAAATAGAGGTATGAATATCTGAAGTAGAAAAATGATGAAAGGAATGATTGACTTTGACTTGGCATTGGGCCTGAGACTCAGGAAAAATTAGGAGAAGATTAATTTCTGTAGATAGAGCCTTTAGCAAAGGACATTTAAAACTTAGGAATGAATAACCCAATTATAAAATGGAAAAAAGACCTGAATAGATATTTATCCAAACAAATGGTTAACATGCACATGAAAAGATGCTCAGCATCATTAGTCATGAGGGGCAATGTAAATCTAAACGACAGTGAGATACCACTTCATAGCCACTAGAATAGCTATAATCAAGAAAGATTATTATAATAACAAGTGTTGGCAAGGATATGGAGAAATTGGAACCCTTATATGTTGCTGTTGGGAATGTGAAATGTTATAGCTGCTTTGGAACAATCTGGTTCCTCAAAAAGTTGACCGAAGTGTTACCATATTACCCAGCAGCTCTACTTCTAGGAGAATTATAACATATGTCCACATAAAAACTTGCATGTAAATATTCATGGCAGCATTATTTATAATAACCAAAAAGTGGAAACAACCCAAATGTCTATCAGCTGATGAATGGATAAACAATTATGGTATATCTGTACATGGGAATATTATTCAGTTATACAAAGGAATTTTCAAAATACTGATATATGCAGCAACATGATGAACTTTGAAAACATTATCTTAAGTGTTTAGCCAGTCAAAAGAAAATGTATGATTCCATTTATATGAAATGTACATAATAGGCAATTCCACAGAAACAGAAAGTAGATTAGTAACCAGGGTAGGAGGATGAGGAGGGAATGGGGAGTGACTGCTAATGAGTAGAGGTTTTCTTTATGGAGTGATGAAAATGTTCTAAAATTAGATAGTGAGGATGGTTGTATGACTTTGTGACTATCGTATACTTTTAAAGGCCAAATTTATATAATATTTAAATTATGACTTATTTAAAAATCTTATCACCTTAAAAGCCTAGGGAGCAACATTAATAATCATTTATAGGTATAAAATATAACATACCTTTATTTCACACTAAAGAGTGAATTCCTGTCAGATAATGAACTCCTGAGATAGGAACAGTGTCTAACACCTAGAACAAAACCTAGCACATAAAAGGTGCTCAATTTATTTTTTTCCAACTATGCTATTATGACAAGTTTCAAATACATAGAAAAGTTGAAAGAGTGTTATACAGTAGATACCCACATACTCATCATCTAGATTCTACAATTAATATTTTGTTATATTTGGTTTATCCCATATCTTTGTCTGACATCTTTCTCATCATCAGTTCAACCAGCCTTTTTGATGCCTTTCAAAGTAAGTTACACACATCAGTACACTTCACCCCTAGACTTCAGCAGCATATTGTTAAAAGTTTATACATATTAATGACTTTTTATTTTTTTGAAGGTTAAATTTACAAAGTGTAATGCATAAATCTTAAGTATACTATTCAACATGTTTTGAGAAATGCATACACCTGTGTGATGCAAAACACCCATCAAGATATAAATCATTAACATCTCCAAAAGTTTTGTCATGCCTTTTCAGTTGTTCTCTACTGTCCCTCTGCTCAGGTAAACACTTTTCTGAATTTTTAAAGAAACCACAGATTAATTTTGCTGATTGTAGAATTTCATATAAATGGAATCATGTAGTATGTACTCTCTTTTGAAGGTGTTCTTTCATTAAGATAATGTTTACTTAAAACATTTTTTTATTGACTATTGTTTTAGAACAGTTTTAGATTTACAGCAAAATTGAAGAGTAGGTACAGAGATTTCTCATATACCCCTTGTCCCTACATATGCATGGCCTCCCCCATTACCAGCATCCCGTCCAGAGTGGGACTTTTGTTGCAGTTGATGAGCCTGCATTGACACATCATCATCACCCAGAGTGCATAGTTCACATTACCATTCACTCAGTGTTGTACATTCTGTAGGTTTGGACAAACGTATAATGATATGTAGCCATCGTTATGGTATAATACAGAGTATTATCACTGCCCTAAAGACGTAATATTTTTGGGATTCATTATTGTCAGTAGTAATTTCCTTTTTATTGCTAGGTACATTATATGAATATACCATATGAATATGCCATAGTTTATTTAGCCATTCCCCTGTTGACCTCTGTTGATGGATGCTTGGACTATTTCCAGTTTTGGCTATTATAAATAAAGCTGTGCTGGACAGTCTTCTACAAGTCTGTTGTAGACATGTGCTGTTCTTTCTCTTGGGTAAATACCTAAGAGTGCAGTTGTATGTTAAGCTTTTTTTTTGTTTTTTAAGAAACTACCAGACCTTTTTTCCAAAGTGGTTGTGCCAGTTTACATTCCCATCAACAATGTATGAAAGTTCCAGTTGTTCCACATCCTTGCCAACATTTGGTGTTGTCAGTCTTTACTTACTTTTTGCCATTTTGATGAATGTGTTGTGGTATCTTGTTTTAATTTGCATTTCTCTGAGCAGTTATTTTGAACTTTTCATTTGGTTATTGACATTAATATCTATATTTCTGAAGTGTGTATTAAATACTGTACTTGCCTATTTTAAACCTTTTTGGGTTTCACTACTGATTTATAGGAGTTCTTTATATATTCTGAATTCAAGTTTTTTATCATATACGGTAATAACCTTGGATAGCGATAATAATTCGTTCCGGAAGCAAACTATTTGTATTGCAAGACATTGCTTGTTTACCAAGTTAAAATGTATTAGAAATTTTTGTTCCCCTTGTGGGACACTCGCAAACCAAGTTACTTGCAATCCAAGGTTTTACTGTACATTGTTTAGGAATGTTTTTTTCCCAGTCTGTGACTTATTAATTTATTTTTAAAAGGTGTCTCTTGAGCAGAAGTTTTAAATATGGATGAAATGTAATTTTCAAATTTTTCTTTTATGACTATTGCTTTCTGTGATCTAAGAAGGTGACGAGGTTTCTCTTGTATGTTAAAACAAAGGAATAAATCAACCCCACTATTTGCTTCCAGAGGAGTCTGAACTAGTTTTCTCATTTGTCCAAACCAGGGATTCTTAGCCTTTTGTTGTGTGTGCTGTGGATTGCTTTGACACTCTGGTAAAGCCTATGAACCTCTCTTCACAGAAGGTTTTAATCATTTTGATTTTGATATGTCCTCGTGTCATTTCTTCATGTTACTTGTGGAATACATTAGAGTTTTTAGATCTGTGGGTTCATATATATGTATTTAGAAAAATTTTTAGGCTTTATTTCTTCAAGTATCTTTTTTAGTTTCCTTCTCTTCCTTTGGGGTCTCCAATTACATGTGAATTAAGCATCTTGAAGTTCTACAGAGCTCTGTGATTCTCTGTTCATGTTTTTTTCTTTATTTTTTGTTTCATTTTTGATAGTTTTCTATTTCTGTTCAAGTTTACTAATTTTCTGTATCTAATCTGCTATTAATCTCATCTAGTTTATATTTCATCTCAGATACTGTATTTTTAATCTTTAGAAGTTCAGTTTGGATTTAAAAAATATATCTTTCATATCTATCCTTGTTTATGCTTTCTTGAGTATTGTGTAGTTTTTATATAGCTGTTTTAATGTCCTTGTTTACTATTGCCGTGAACGCATCATTCCTAGGTCTTTTTCTATTGACTGACTTTTTTTTCTCGTTCTGGGTTATATTTTCCTGCTTCTTTGCATGCCTGATAAATAATTTTTAATTGGATGCCAGATATTGTGGAATTTTACTGTTGAGTGCTAGATACTTTTGTATTCTAGCAAAAAGTTTAGTTACTTGGAAACAACATAATTCATTGAAATCTTGTTTTAAAGGGTTTTTTAGGTGGGATCAGAGCAGCCATTTAGCTTAAGCCCAGGTTTGTCCCACTGTTGAGACAATTACCCTTTTGAATAGTTTGCCTGATACCCTCTGAATTAAAAGCTCTTTTTTTTCCCATGGCTTGTGGGAACACAGAGTATTCCCAATTCTGTATAAGCCTTGGTGATTGTTCCCACTGTTCTTTTCTGGTGGTTCTTTTCATGGTTTCTGTAGTTGCCTTACATGAAACCGATTACTACTCAGCTGAGGACTGGAGTGGGACCCTCTGCAGATCTCAGGAGCTCTTTGCTCAACAGGTCTTTCTCATCTGATACTCTGCCCTGCAAACTCGAGCCACCTTAGTTTCCCTGGACTAATTACTTTGTCTTATCATCTAAGGAGATTGCTGAGGTCGGCTTGGATTCCTGCTTTCTTGGCCATGACTTTAGAAACTCATTCCAGGCGTTAAGCTGGGGCAATCATAGAGTTCATTTCTCTTGTTTCCCATCTCTCAGGATTCACTGGTCTTCACTGCCTGACATCTAGCGTCTGAAAACCATTATTTCATATATTTTGTCTTTTTTGTTGTATTTTTGTATGTGCTTCTGTGTTAACATTTTAAACAACAAAATATAGCAGGAACTCTAATAGCTGTCATAGTTTCAAAGTAGCAATATGTGTAAATATTTTGAGATAACTTCACAATCACTATTTGATATAGCTGTGACTTCTATAGGTTTTAGAGTTGAAAGTACTACTGATGCAACTGTGATTTGTTACCTACATTCACAATTAAAAGAATGCTACATTTTAGTTAAATAATTAATATATATTTTTCCATTGAAATTCATGGAGTTCCTGAATTTTGTCAAAGGGTCCCCAGATTAAGATGCACTATTTCAAAGGAAAAGAGTATTGTAGGAAATTCTGACCAGATATCAAGGAGATGCTTTTTCCTTTTCCTGGCCTTAATTCATTCTTTTGAAAAGGCAGTAAAGTCTCAGAACTTCAAAAGCATCTTTCATCAAAATCCCTCTTATTTATTTTTTTTACTACTAATAAGTATAAATTATAGTGACCGGTTTCTCAGACCTCTGTTAGTGACGTTTCTTTTGTTTCAAAAGATCAAGCTGTGGATAGTCCTTCTGTTTTAATGGGTTAGACAAGAAAGGTCTAGAGTCCACCTCTGTGGACCCAGTCTGGTCCCTGCTTCCTAGGTTGAGGTGATCTGACTTCTTGTAACTACAATATTTAGTGATGATATCCAATTTGAGATCTTACTAGGGACAGTTAATAACAGGCTTTATTATTCCCCAGTAGATATTTATATAATGTTTATGCTTAGACAGGAGGATATATGCTAACGTTTTCTGTAATTATAGCTTTTATAATTTATTTTGAAGTAAAATGGCTAAGGCACCTTGGCACTACCGTATTTCCCCATGTATAAGACACTCCCATGTGTAAGACGCACCTTAATTTTGGGGCCCGAAATTTGAAAAAAATTGTATCACATAAAGTTATTGAACTCAAGTTTTATTCATCATAAAATTCATACAACTCCTTGTTCACTGTCAAAATTCCTAACCATTAGCTTGTCCTCATCTGTGTCTGATGGTGAATCACTGTCTTCATATATTGCCTCTCATGGCCTTTTGCCGTGGCGTTTTCAGTAGGGTTTCTTCTTCCCATAGCCAGTCTCGGATTGTTTTCTCAGTTGGAGGAGGACCACACTTATGTTCAGCAGCACGATTTCTATTCACTTTTGCAAACTGGATCACTTTTAACTTGAATTCAGCACTGTACGAAAATCTTTTCTGAGCCATTTCTGGGCAGGACATGGCAAAATGTAACCTACCGTAATATACTGGTAACAAGTGCGAAACAATGAGCGCAAAGACAAGCGCGAAAAAGCGGGAAATGCAAGTAAAAAATCTACAACCACTGTATAAGACACACCCAGTTTTTAGACCTCAAATTTTTCGAGAATGTGTGTGTCTTATACATGGGGAAATATGGTATATTTTAGGTACTCTAATTACTATTTATTAAGTCTTTTCCTTTCCAGATGAAAGAAGGTAAATGGATAAGTGTAGGATATTCCAGGAGTCTCTTGTTGTAGGACTAAAAAAGTTAAATAGTTTTCCTAGCCAGAAAACGTAGAAGTGGATCTGAATGAGGATGATATTTAACGGAATTTGTGTATTTATAGATTTATCACTGAAGAATAGATATACTTGAATGTGTTGGGGACTGCTTATACTTTTTTTAAAAGTATTTTTTTTCCTAAATTTCATGAATATACACCGTTTGTTTGTATTGTTAGAATAATGTTAAGAGGCTGGTGGAATTTGTCTTGACAAAGCTGGAATATGTTACAGTGTTGGAATTTAAATTCTTAGTCTGCTAATTTGTAACCAAATAAAAGCATTTGCTATAATTTTTCATCGGTAAATAGGAAAGATACTAATTTATGTTACTTACTACTAGTAAAGAGTCACTAACACTATTATTTTTCTCAACTACATATAAGAATAATTTCATTGTAACATTTATTTTCATCCTTTGGGTAAATTCTTTATTTAGGGTAAACGTTTTGCCTTAGAACACTTGCCAGTCTCCTTTTTCATTGGGCGCATCAGGGAATCAAGAACTTTTCTTGGATCTTTCTGGTATTATGTTTCTGAGAAAAGTCTGTTTTTTTAGCACTTTAGCCTTATTTTTGGGATTTGGGTTTTTTGTTGTTGTTGTTTAAATTGATGAGTGAAATGGCAAAGAATGAACTTACCCTGTGTATTTATGAAATCCATTTAAAATTGTCTTAAACTACTTTGCACATAACATTAATTGTGGTCTATAAAAGGAGATTGATACAGACAACGTATAGAAACTTAAAAGTGGTAATGCTAAATTATTGGTTTCAAATAATAATAGCCAGTGTATGAGATGGTCAAACTTTACATGTAGACACGATGTGTGAGATATATTTTTATAGAATTTACCTTCCTAATTTTCCTCTTAGTTAAATCCTTTTGTTTTATTTAAAATGACTTTATTTTGATTGATAGATGTTGAAGATGAAACAAGGATAGATATGCAGTATCCTGCTCCGTACAAAGGCCAAGAGTTGTATTCACAGCAAGAGGATGAGCAGTCGCAGGGATGGGTATCCTGGGCCTGGTCCTTTGTGCCCGCAATTGTGAGTTACGATGATGGTGAGGAAGACTACCTTGGGAGTGATCCTGCAACAGCCACGCATCAGCAAAAAGCACAGACTTTGAAGGATCCTGTTGTTTCTATAGGATTTTACTGTACAAAGGCAACTGTGACTTTCAAAGTAGGTTTCCTTTTTATTGGTATTCTTATCTCTCTCAATTTAATACTTAAACTACAATTTCTAGTAAGGATCTCGCTTAAAGTTTATTTTATACTTTGTCATCGTAAGATACAGTCTAATAATCCTTACTTTATAAAGGTATATGTCCTCGCATCTGAAATCTATGAACTTTGATCTCTTCCCATCTTCTTAAGGTCTTCTCCGTTTTCCTTTTCTTATCAGCTTCATGGAAAAATTTTCTCTCCCTACTAACTGTTTCAATTGGCATACAAAATGTCTTAATATTTCCATTAAAAAATCAATGCACATTAATGTGCTTTAAAAATGTGCATTAATCAATGTGCATTAAAAAATAAATGCACATTAAAAAACCTCCTTTGAATTCATGTACCCCTCCTGCTATTGTTTCATCTCCGTGCTTTCCTTCATTGCACAATTTCTTGAAAAGACTTGTTTGTATAGTTTCTCTCTTTCCTCACCTTTCTTTCACTCTTTAAGATAATCCAATTTTTTTTTTTTTTTAAACATTTTATTGGGGAATCGGGGAAGGGAAACAGACAGGTAGACAAATTGCTGCTTTGGTCTTCAGTCTAGTTGTGGAGGATGTCGCTTCTCTGGCCCATGTTGGCATTATCATTGCGGTCTTCCTGGGTGAGGCAATCGGTCGCTGGTCATTGGTTGGTGGCTCACAGCAGCTCTCGCCGGCTGCCAGCGCTCACGCTGGCTGCTAGCCTCTTGCATAGCCCACGGCAGCCCACTGCAGCCCTGCTGCAGCCTACACCATCGCCAGCGACTCAGAGCAGCCCAGCTCCAGGTCAATCTGTTGTTCACCATTTTAGCTGTAGAGGGCGCAGCGTCACTGGCCCTCAATGTGGGATCTGAACCGTGGCCCTGCTGGTCAGAGCTGGTGCTCCCAAGCGAGATCTTAACCAACTGAGCCACTTGGCTGGCCCTAATCCAATTATTTATCTAGGTCCTCATCTAACTCTGTTTTTTTGCAGTGTTTAACATACTTTGAGCACTTTCTCCATTAACAAATATATGTGAAATATATATTCAAAAGAGATTATACCATATGTATTTTTAGGTTAAAGAAGTGAATAACCTTTTAAGAAATATAAAATCACTAGTACTTTGGTACCTCTTATATGCTCTTCTTTAATCATATTTGTCTTCTTTGCCCATTAGATATAACCCAGCCTTAATTTTAGGTTATTTATTCCTTGGCTTTTTATAATAGTTTTACTACACATGCAATATTCCTGAACAGTATCCAATTCATTGAGTAAATATATATAAACACCATCTATGTGTAAGACACTGTTTTGACTCTAGAGTTGTCATACTGAACAGATCAGATAAAAATCCCTGGTTCTGGGCCGGCTGAGTGCCTCAGTTGGTTAAGAGCTCGTGCAAGAGTGCGAGCTCTGAGCAACAGCGGTTCGATGCCTGGCCCGAGCTGAGTTGCTGCTGAGCTGCCAACAGGTAGCAGGATGGCTCAGCTAAAAAAAAAAAAAAAAAAAAAAAAAAATCCTGGTTCTTAAAACATGAATTGTTATAAATAAAGATATATAGTATGCCCATTGATGATATGGGTTATGTATGGAAAAATAAAGAGGGAAGAAGAATAATGAATGCTTCCACTAGACGTGAGGTTATGCAATTTGAAACTGAGTGATCAGGGAAGGCCTTAATAGGAAGGGGATATTTAAGCAAAGACCTATGAAAGAGGAAGTTCTGTAGGTATGTGGAAATGAACATTCTAGGAATAGCTAATGTAAAGGCCCCAAAAGTTCAAGGAACAGCAAAGAGGCCAGTGGGGCCAGAGCACAGTGAGCTAATGTGGAAGTATAGTACAGAATCAGGTCAGAGAGGCAATGGGAGAGATCCATAAATTATAATACTGCGTAGGACATTTTAGGGACGTTGTCATTAATTCTGAGTGTGGTAGAACGTTTTTGGACAATTTTTAGCATAGTAGTTATAGAATAATCTGAGTTATGTTTTAAATTGCATCATCCTGGTTGCTGTGTTGAGAATAGGTGATAAGGGAACAAAAGCAGAAGTAAGGAGAGCTGACAGAGAGGATTGAAATTTTCAAGCAAGAGATGATGATGTTTTGGACTAGGGTTGGTAGCAAGTGGAGGTAGTGAAAAGTAACTGAATTTTGTATGTGTTTTAAAGGTCAAAAGGACAGTAATCCCTGATAGATTTTGTGGTGAGACATAAATAAAATAAAGAGGATCCAAGGATGGCTCCTGGGCAACAAGAAGGGTTGAATTCCAATTTCTTGAGAGAGGAGGATTGTGAGAGGATTAAGTTTGAGATAAATATCAGGAGTTTGGTTTTGGACAAGTTTAAGATGCCCACTGTATATTCAAGTATAGTTATCTGGTTGGATTTATGAATCTTGAGTTCAGATTAGAAGTTTGGTCTGGGTCTATAAATCTGAGAGTCAAGATTTTATTAATCTGGAATCAGTATAGATAGGAAAAAAAGAGAGATTCTAGGACCAAGCTCTGGGACACTGTGATGTTAAATATTTGGAAAGATGAGGAAGAAATAGCGAGCAAAACTGAAAATAAATGACCAGTGATGTAGTAAAAAAGCAAATAGAGTGTCTGTTTGGAAGTTAAGTGCCATAAATGTTTTAAAGTGGAGGGAGTAGGTCATTTGTGAGAATAGATCATTGGATTTGGCAATGTAGAATTGTTGGTGATCTTGACCAGAGCTGTGCTTTGACACTGATGGAATCTTAGTTGGAGTTGGTTAAAAACAAATGGGAGGTCTGGTGAGAATGTAAAATGGTGCAGTTGCAGTGGAACAGTTTGATGGTTTCTCAATAAGTTAAACATAGGATTATCATATGATCCAGCAATTCCACTCCTAGGTATATACTCAAAAAATTGAAAATTGTACTCAAATAGATGTGAATAAATGTTCATAAAAGCACTATTTAGAGTTGCCAAAAAGTTGAAACAATGCAAATGCTCATCAGTGGATGAAGGAATAATAGCATTTTCAGAAAATCATGGATATTCTCTTTCTTTTTTTTTCTTTAAAGATTTTTTTATTGGGGAATTGGGATGGGAACAGTGCTGGGGAATTGGGGGAAGGGGAATAGACAAGTTGCTGTCCTTTTGTTCTTCAAGCTAGTTGTGGAGGACGTTGCTTCACTGGCCCAAGTTGGCACCATCATTGTGTTCTTCCCGGGCGAGGCAGATCAGTCGCCAGCCTCTGGACGGCCGCTCACTGCGGCTGCTGGCTACACATGGCAGCCCATGGCAACCCACTGCCACAGGGGCTGCAGCCTATGCCATCGCCGGCGACTCACAGCAGCCCAGCTCCAGGTTGAGCTGTTGTTCTGCATCTTAGCTGTGGAGGGCAGTGTCACCGGCCCTCATATGTGGGATGCCAACCGGGGCCCTCTCGCGTCCCAAGTCAGTTCTTAACCATCGCGCCACTTGGCCGGCCCTGGATATTCTCTTTTGATAGTACACCAAAACTCAATAAGTGGTAATTTTAAAGAAGGTTAGTTGCACCTCCAGCTCTTGGAAATTGCCTGTACATATTCAGCAAATATCTGTTGAATAAATACATCCATTCATCCATCTACCCATCTCCTTATCTGCTTTCCATCTCTCAAAATTTTTGGAATCCTCTCTTTGTTTTAGTTTTTTTTCTCCGATTTTGTCTTTGTAGGTTTATTTTTTCATGGAGACATTTTTCTGAAGGCGATAAACTCATGTGTCTAACCTGTAAAGCAGTGTCATAAGTATTATTCTAGGCAACTTGTTAGATACTGGAAATATGGCAGTGAGAAAAACTGAAATTTCTGCTCTTATGGTATTTTAACTTTGCTTGGATCGTTTGTTAACTGCTTGAAATAAAAAATTTTAATTAGTAGTAAAACTATACAATTTATAACTATAGCAAATAATAGATTAAAATATTTTTTTGGTTAGATTAAAATATTTTAAAGTAACTAGACTTTAAAAAGTTTTCTAATTAAAATCATTTATTATTTTCTAATATGACAAAAGCTGAAAAGCACAGAATAATTTTCAACAAAAATTTAGTCAAGGCTTGATTAGTTTCAAAGATTTTTTTTTCTTTGCTAATAAAGTTTAGGAAAAAATGATAAAAATGTGTACATTAGCTGTGCTATTTTAACATCGTTTATTAGTTTTGAATTCTTTTAACAAAACAAATTATTATAAATTTTTAATTGAAATTCACTGTTTGATCTTTCATTAAACTAAAGGAATATGGATCAATCTGCAATATTAAAAATGATAAAATCTTTAAATATAATAAAAAGCCAACTGTTGTTAGATATATTGCTAATTTTACATCATCCAGTAGGTTGGTGAGGGATGTTAAGGATTGCTAGTAAAGAATTATCTTTTTGTGATTTTTGCCTATTTTGAATTTGAAATTATTCCAGTGTATTTCTATTAACTTCACTGATGAAAAAAATTGTATTAAAATGAGTCAGAATAGGCAGTTATATACAAAACTTTTTATAGATTTTGGGCAGTGTTTGTCATTAGTTAATACATCTTTTTAAAAGGTTGAAACATTTATGTCTAAGGTTTCTTTAAGGGAAATATCTTGATATTTAAAGGAAAACATTAGAATTCATTGTTCAGCTTGGATTTGAAGAATGTGTATGGAATTAATTTGTGGTTCATATTTTGGTCAGAAAATAAGGTCATGTTTCTACATTAGCATTCTGAACAGTTGATATTAATCCAACAAAAATCATGCTAAATTAAATGTAGCATTTAAAAAATAATGTTGAAAATTGTTCTTGTAATGTCTGAGTCCTTTTAATCAATTAATTGCTTTTCTCTACAATAATTGTAGACAGCTGAAAGGTGATCAAGTTTAAAATATTCAATTTTACTTAAGCATTTTAGATTATATAGAATTGTAGTTGAAAACAGCAACATGTGTGTACCAGTTCTGGAAGCATGCAAGAAATAAGGGCTTGTATAAAAAACTCTTTGTTACAAAAAATGAGAAAAATTAGTTGATTTTCAGTATAAAAATGTTATCATACTTAAAATCATACCTTTTTGGTTCAGTGAATTCTATTTGACCTAAGTTAAATATTGTTTTTTTTTGAAAAAGTGATCTTTGACTTTACATTTGTATCCATTTTACGAGACTAAGGGTTGCTGAATCATTAGCAAACATGAGCAGAATACTCTTATTTAAAAATAATATCTTTATTTTGGAATAATTATGGATTTACAGGAAAGTTGTAAAAATGGTACAGAAAGTGCACATATACTTCTTACACAGTTCCCCTATTGTTAACCTCTTAGGTTTTCACAGTACATTTGTCAAAACTAAGAAGCCAACATTAATGCGTTACTGTTAAATTCCAGACTTTAATTGAATTTCATAATGTCCTTTTTCTGTTACATGATCCAAGGCAGGATACCACATTGCATTTAGGAAAATACCTTTTAAAAATAAATTATTTAGTTTTTGGGTATATACAAATAATACATTGTAAGCTTCAGGGGAGCAAGAATATTTTTTTCTTTTGTCAGCATCTCAATTAGTACTTGTTATCTATTGGGTTGTTGGAAAAGTCATTACGCATTTTTACAACGAAAAAAAAATATGTCATGACTTTTCCGATAATCCAATAGTAGGCACTCAGTTTTTGTTGCATGATTGTGAATCTGTGAGACATACTGAGAGACACATACTTTGAAAATAAACACCCGCGGACCTACTTTTATAGAACTAGAAAGAATTTGGTGAATCTATTTGTGTTTCTTCACAGCTTTCTTTTTTATTACAAATAGGGAAAAATCTTGGAAATGATTGAACCAAACCTGGTTTGATTATATTAGTGAATATAACATGAATTGAGGTTAAAATATATGTAAAATTTTGGTAGAATATAGGAACTATTTTATGACTGTGGGACTGTTATAGCTGCACAGCTTTCACCTTTTAAAGCAATATCATTAAGAAAAAGGAGTTAAGTAAAAATAAGGTGGTATTTAAATTCTCTGTATGAGCTTAGACTAGCATTTTCAACCTTTATACCATGGATAATCTGTTACAGCTGTTTTTGTTGCACCTGTTTTCCTGCTTAATAATTAAATTTCCCGAATCTTAAAATTGGCCTCGTTTCCATCAATTCATCATAATATGGGAAGTTTATTGCCATTTAATACTAATTTGACTTACTTAATATTCTTATATTGTTTCTTAGCTGACTGAAATGCAAGCTGAGAGTAGTTATTACAGCCCTCAGAAAGTAAAATCTAAAGAAGTGTTGTGTTGGGAACAAGAAGGAACTACAGTTGAGGTAATTTTTCAACATTGAACATACATTTTGAATGTCTTTTGAATGATCGTTAAAGTTAATATTTAATAGATACAGATTTTTATCATAAGTGGTATGTTTAAAGTATATTTATAGTTTTATATTTCTATTTTAGTGGTCAGTAGTATTGGTTGAAATAATTAATACTTTTAACAAAGATTTTACTGTAATACGAAACATTTATATTTCTCATTTAACATGTGTGGACTCATAAGTATGTGTGGATTAATATTTATGAAGTGCCAGTCATTGAGGATACAAAGGTTTGAGGATACAGGGACAAGGAAGACGTTTCTTACCTTAATAGGGTTTATGGTCTGAGAAGAATAAATTTGGAAAGGCTATACTCCTAAAGATGTTTCAACTAATTTAGAAATTCTACAAGGAAAGCCTGTAATATTTTTATGAAATTGAAGTTCTTAGTTGTAATGTTCTTTTTCCTCTTACAGGCCCTTATGATGGGAGAGCCTTTCTTTGATTGCCAGATTGGTTTTGTAGGTTGTAGAGCCATGTGCCTTAAAGGAATTATGGGTGTTAAAGATTTTGAAGAGAATATGAATAGAAGTGAAACCGTAAGTCAAAATCTTCTCTTTCCCCGCTTTTTTTGGATAGAATGCAAGGATGATGAAGTGCTTATTGAAGTGTTTAACCATACCAAAAATCTGTTAGACTACATACAACTTTGGCTTGAGAGAGGAACTTTACTGTTTTCCCCTGTAAGAATTTATAGAGCTCAGGGGAATTTAGAAAGTTGGTAGCACTTAACACCTGGACAGTAGTTCCAGATACTTTCCAATTCATAAATGTTTTTTCTTTCTTGTTTATGGCAGCTACTTGGAGTTCCTTTTTGGTTTGTTAAAATGTTCTTTGCCAAAATAGGAAGTGAAAATGGAGACAGCATTCCTTGTCTTTTTACAGGACTTCAAGTTGTAGTGATTTCTATTGACTACTGAATGGGTGTTATAAAGCCAAGGTTTTATTTTCTTTAACAGTCTAATGATTTTTCCTCCTGTTCAAAAATTTTGTGTTTATTTTCAGGAAGCCTGTTTCTTTATTTGTGGTGAAAATTTGAGTATGAAAGGTTTGACATACCTTACAAATTCATTGTTTGATTACCGAAGCCCAGAAAATAATGGTACTCGTGCAGAATTTATCTTGGATGCAGCTCATCATAAGGTCAGAGAATATATGTTTGAGCCAACTTCTAGACTGTGTTTGGTGGACACTTTATATGAATACTTGTGATTGCCATCTTTCTTTTCAAGTAATATATTCTGAATGCTATTTGTTTATATAGAGACATTTAGAATGTTTCCTTCTAGCTTCTATACTAGAGAGGTTTGAGGAGTTCACAGAAACCTCTCTTAGAGTATTGCAGCCACAGTTAGTTTGTTTATCCATTCTCTACTGTTAAAATAGTCATGGAGGAAACATATAGAAGTGTCTTTTTAAATTTCAGTTAGTTTTATGCTGTGGGATTTATGGGAAGAGAAGAAGAATTTCACATATTGCTATGTATATATCTTAGTATGGTTTGAATTTTTTATGTAAGATTAATGTACTTTTATGGACTCAATTTTAAAATTCAGAAAAGTTAGTTGAAGATTAGTATAATAGAATAAATAATTTACATTTTAACTCTTTCACTACAGATTTACTTTTATAGTTGAAAGTAAAAAATTTAATTTTGACCTGCATAATTAACATACATTTAAATATTTTAGTATATCTTTAGTGTTTGAACTGTTCCATATAAGTGTACAGAAATATTTAAGGATTAACTCTATTTGAGAGTATACATCATTAGACAGTTTCGTGATGGTGATAAAGGTCAAGAGTGTACTGTCCTGCTTCATTAACCAGACATTATTGATAAAGTGGTCAAAATATCTAGTAGAATTATGAATGTCCTTTTGTGTGGTCTACAATAGAGGTCATATTACCTTTCTTAGAAGTGAATTCTTTGAATAACCTCTGTTTTTCTGTTTTGGTAATCCTTTGAGTTGATACACATTCTGTGTAAAACTGTATGTCTGATTTTTGACCTATCAGGTTTTAAACTCAAAAGTCTGTACTGTACAATGTGTGTTCTGTTTACTTTGCTTTGTTGACAGGAGACATATACTGAGATAGCTGGAATGCAAAGGTTTGGGGCTTTCTATATGGATTACCTGTATACAATGGAGAACACCAGTGGCAAAGGTACTGGCTTCTTTTATGTTTGCTTTTCCTTGAATAACAGAAACAAAGGCTTCTTCAGAATCGATTGGTCCTTGACTGGTTGTACTCTGTTACATTAAGTTTACCTTCTGTTATTTTGGGGAATGGTTGAATTTTAGTGTCATGTTAATTTTCTTAAATTCATGACATTTTTAATTCTTTTTTTTGTGAAGCTGATTGAGAAGACATTTTGTATAAAAAACTAGCATTAGTTCTCATATATACCAAATATTAAAATTTTGATACACCAAATTTCATATTGCATTAAGTTGTCAAAAGAATAAACTTCCTTTTCTGTATTAAATACATTTTGAGGGTTATATAGATCTTTTTCTTTAAAAAAGTTTGTTTTAAGCAGAAAAATAGAAATATATTCTAGAAATTATGGACACCTAGTTTATTACTTTGTTATATCTTTTATTCATTTTCTAATTTTATTATGTTAAGTCAAATTATGTTTTAGAAAATTTAACCATTTGATATTTTATGTGCACATCAGTATACAATATTTTGTTTATTGTAGTATCTTTTCATGTTGAAACTAAATGAAAATAGGTTCACCATTTCTTTGGTGAATTTTTCATATAAAAAAATTATGTGTATTAGGTGATAAGTTAGATACTGTGAGTGCAAAGAAGACTAAAACATTTCTCAAGAAATCAATAAGCAGTGTTTAGCTATGCACTTAAATAAATGACTGTAATATGTCACGTTATGAACAGTAGTTTAAACAGAGAGCTAAGAGAGGCCCATGTAAGAAAACGACTACCTTTGTCTGTGGGGTTGAAGACTTCACGGAGGCGTTGATCTTGAAGGATCATTATCTTTTGTTAGATGAAAACAGAAGGAAAGAGCAGTCATTTTTTGCTTCTTCCTTTTGTAATGGATTTCTAAGTGTTGGTGTTCTCATTTATCAAACCTTGGATTCACTTCTTTTCTTAACTCTTTCCTGAAGTAATCTCTTTCTTTTGCATTAATTTAAGTGCCTTCTATATGTTGTTGATACTCATACATGTATTTTTAGTCCAAACATTATCTTATTTAAGGTTTATAATTAAATATACAGTGCATACTTGACATTTTCACTTCTGTGTTTCACAAGTATCTCAAAACTGAATATATCCAAAATTGAATTATTAATATCCCTACTGCCTATTACTTTTCCCTATTTGCTGTCTTCTCATCTTGGAAATTAATTCTACCATCTTCTAGTTGCTCAAGCCGGACCTGGGAACCAACCATCATGACACATTCCTTCTCTCTTAGCATCCAGCACGTCAGCATATTTTGTCAAATTTTATCTGCAAAATCTATCTTGAATTCATTCACTTCTCACAAGCTCCACTGTAGTCACTCTCATTCAATCTATCATCTCTAGATTCTAGTAGCTTTTTACTGGCTCCCTGCTTTCCTTCCTGCCCTCCTGTAATCCATTCTGCAATCAGATTGGTTTAATTCCTGTGCCTAAAATCCTCACTGCCTTTGCATTGCTTTATTTAACAATAAAATTTAAATAGTTTTTCAGATTTTGGTCTTGAATTACTTGGTGGATAGTGATAACCACTAAGGAAGACAGACATAAGAAAAGATTTTTAGAGGAAAAGATACGTTTTGAGGTTTGTGGACATTGAGGTTGAGATGTTCAGTAGTCGGTTAGATATATGAAAAATGCAACCTAGAAGTCTGTGTTCTAAGAACTTTGCAAATTGTTACAGTGTCTTAGTTGCCAAATGTAAGCTGGTAGGTTTCTTGTTCAGTACATGTCTTATGCGTGTGTTGTGGTTCAGTATCTTGTGAGGAAGTGGAGTGTGGAGTGGTCTCCTTTCAAGTAAAGAAAACCTGGTGGTGAAAATTTTATTATTTGTACATATGTTGCTTCTACAATTTTAAAAAGATAGCAGCATTTATATTTGCTAGGGTGCTTATGTATTTTCTGCCCCAGAAGCTAGTAGTTTGTTAACTTTTGAATTTTTCGTACTTTCCATTTCTGTGAATAGTATACAATGTTATAAATAGCTTAGTTCTTAACTTTTTAGAAACAAAATGTTAGATTATAACACACAAACAGAAAATTTCTATACATTTATGTACAGAATAACGAATAATTATAAACAATTGTGTATTTGTGTATTTTCCACATAAGGTGAGAAATAGGACAATGTCAGTGTCTGACAAGCCTCCTCTGTTCCTTTTCTATCACACTCTCCTCCCGCCCTCACTAGGGGAAACTGGTGTTCTGAGATTGGTAGTAATCACTTACTTGCTTTTGTTTTTACCACTTATACATCTCAATTGTGCAAGCAAGTAATATTTTTTTAGAAAATAATAAAATTCTGTTAATTTGTGAATGTTATATGTACTTTAAAAATGTGTGCATTCATTCACTTAATCTGTTCATTTATTCCTTCCCTGCATTTAGGTGGTTGTGTTCATGTGTTTGTTTATCATTGTGAATCTGCATTCACTTATAATATAATGATGGTGATGATGTGATAATAATAGCTTATATTTATTTAAGAGTTTTAAATGGTGGAAGGTGCTGTTTTAAGTGTTTTACATGTATTAGCTTATTTATTCCTCCTAGTAACCCTGTACGATAGCTATTATTCCCATTTTACAGGCGAGAAAACACCAGTCCTTACAGGTTAAGTAACTTGGCTAAGATCACATACCTGTTATGTGGGATTCAACCCAGCTAACCCAGTCTACAGCCTACATTCATAAGTATTGTGCAGACTTTCTTCTTTCTTGTATTAATTGAAACAAGAAATTTGTAGAATATTTAGTATTTAGGAACCCAAGAAAAGTATTTTGAATTTTCATGAGAGGTTAATTTTAAATACTTTAAAGAAATAACTAAAATTTTTGGTTTACTTGACATTTATTTGTTTTTATAATCTAAATTATCAAAAAGTGCCAAAATTTTGTCTATCTAAATGCATATGAAATTAATAATTTCACAAAGTTTGTAATGAATTTTGAGAACATTTGATTCATGTATTTTAAGTAAATTTATGATAGTATTCTAATTAATATAAGAAACTAGTAAATGCAGTCAGAAAAAGAGCTTGTATTATTTTTGTTATGATAAATGATTTAGTATTACTTTACCCATATTATAAAATGGCCTATAAATTAAAATTGAATTGATAGTTGCTACTGCTTGATACTGATAAGTATCTTCTCGAAAGCAAACAATATTTTAAAAAATAAATTGAAATATTTGTTATTAATATAACTGCTTAAATATTTGTTATTGTTATAACTATTACCCATTTGTATTTTTTATTTAGGAAGTTATTGCAAATGTGTTTCTGGACCTAAAGTAGATAGCTGAAAATGTAATCTACAATAGGGAGATTTTAGAGACATGGAAAATGATAAAATTGAAACAGTTCCATTATTCTATTGAGGAAAAGGATGAGAGAGACATGGTTCATTGCCCTTTTGAATCTGGATGTCTTGGGAAGGTGTTGGTGTTCATTTAGGTGTTTGCTGCAATATAAGGATTCTTGATTCCTACATTATTCTATTTAAGGATTAGTTTTCTAGTTCCTGGGGTAGAGCTAAAACAGGCTTTTTTCTTTAAAAATATGGGTTTTATACAGAGACTCAGACTCATAAGGTGTAGGTTAACTACAAGCAAACTTTAGTGAGGACCATGGGGGAAGAGAGCAGGTGAATTTGTAGTAAGAGGACAACTGGGGATATATTGTTTCTCACCAATGAAAGTAGTGTTTTTTGCACACAGACAACACAAATGGTTGGTGGAATTGTTTTGATAGCTTGCAGATTCCTTCTCAGATAGGAAGAATAATTTTTTTAGCGATAGGTATAAGAGTACAGGCAGATGGGGGCGGTGCAGGCTCTGTTGCCTCTGGCTGTCCTGGAGAGACTGAAAAGTCCCTCTTTTTTTTTGTTTTGTTTTGTTTTAAATATTTTTAGTGGGGAAGTGGGGAAGGGGAACAGCGCTGGGGAATCCGGGAAGGGAAACAGACAAGTTGCTGTCCTTTTGTTCTTCAGTCTAGTTGTGGAAGACGTTGCTTTACTGGCCCTTGTTGGTATTATTGCGCTCTTCCCGGGTGAGGCAGTTGCTCACCGGCCATTGTATGGCTGCTCACGGCGGCTCATGGCAGGTCAAGAAAGTTCATGCCAGCTACTGGCCAGCCCCACTGCAGTCTATGCCAGTGCCGGGACTCATAGCAGCCCAGCTCCAGGTTGAGCTGTTGTTCACTATCTTAGCTGTAGAGGGCGCAGCATCACTGGCCCTCATATGTGGGATCCGAACATGGGCCCTGCTGCTCAGAGCTGGCATCCCAAGCCAACCCCTAACCAACGCGCCACTCGTCTGGCCCAGGTCCCTTGTTTTTATTAGGCCAGCTGCATATTGTCTTGATGCTAAATAAAGAGTATCCAAACATTCAGGGGGCTGGAGTGACAAAACATATTGAAGGTGGACACAAATAAATACCTTACTGAAAAGATATAGTGAAAAGCCAGTCACAGTTTACATTTCAGACAAGTTACTGGCATCTAAATTTAAACTGTAGTATAATCAAGTTGCATTATCTGGAAAAAAATAGAAGCCTATAGGTTTCTGTTGAGACAATTTGATGTCTAAAAGAAGGGTCTTCTTACAAAGTGTCATTCGTTCAGGATGCCTAATAGCCCCTGCAGGACTCAAAGCAGGGCATTTTCCTTGTTTTTGAATATTGAGATTTGCAACCAGAGTTCTGGTTGTCTTTAAGTTACCCCATCCTATAGGTAATTCTAGAAATGCCTGGTTTCGCTATGAAAAGTAATTTTTAAAATGTGAATATGTTATTTATACCTAATTTCTAATGTGTCTTGATGTTATTTATACATATGAAATGGCATAAGAGTAATGCTTCGTGTCTTATTTGATGTGACATTTAAGTCGCTGTGTGGTCATCTTGCTAAGAATATACAAATAATTTAATCACTTTGTCCATAGTAACGAGACTAAAAATGGAATTGAACTCCTTTGTTTGAAATGAAGGAAATGTATTTTTGAAAAAGTTATTAGGAGGTGTTGATAGAGAATTTCTGTGTTTCTTTGGGCTTTCCTAGCTTCTAAAGGTATTAAGTACTGGAAAACCTTACTTCCCTATTTTTGTGTGACTAGACAAAATGGATTAAGAATGGAAAGTTACCATATATTGTCACTTATAATAGTGGATTTATGTATTAAAACCAAATCTCTGATATAAGGAGTGTATGTAAGGAGAGATACCTGTAGGTAGAGCCAAAATATTTTTTTAGAACACAGCTTTGGTTTTTCTTCAATATGTGGCCAGATAAAGGATTGAGATACTTGCATTCTGCAACATGGATCATGGCCATAATAATTTTACTCTGTAAAGAGTGCAAAGCAGTTAATACCTGTTGTTCACTTCCATGGTCATCATTAAAGTCACAAGGTAGCCTGTGAATATGTAATTTTAAACAATCTAATTTTTAGTGAAACTTCTAAGATAAAATAGTAAAATGCAGCTTTCTCTAGAATCTCCCTTCCTCGTCAACATAATAGTATTGTGTATAGAATCATTTATATAAGAAATTAGATTTTAGTGAAGAATGTTCTAAGAATGACCATTTCAATTTTGTAGTACTTCTTATAACATTAAATAGACAACAGGAATAATATTTTTTAAATCATTTGGGTTTTCTTTTTTAAGATTTTATTGGGGAATTGAGAGAGGGGAACAGCGTTGGGGAATCAGGGAAGGGGAACAGACAAGTTGCTGTATTTTTGTTCTTCAGTCTAGTTGTGGAGGACGTCGCTTCACTGGCCCATGTTGGTATTGTGATCATTGCACTCTTCCCGACTGAGGCAGATTGGTCGCTGGCCATCCCGCTCATGGTAGCTCACTGCAGCTCTCACTGGTTGCCAGCTACTCATGCTGGCTGTTGGCCACTCACGGTAGCTCACAGCAGCCCACTGCAGCCCCACTGCAGCCTACGTTGTCACCGGCCACTCATGGCAGCCGAACTCCAGGTGGGGCTGTTGTTCACCATCTTAGCTGTAGAGGGCACAGCGTCAGTGGCCCATGTGGTAACTGAACCGGCGGCCCTAGCTGCTCAGAGCTCGTGCTCAGAGCCAACTGTTAACCAACTGAGCCACTCGGCTTGCCCCAAATAACTTTATTTTTTGGTGGTAATATCTTCTCATCTGCTTTGAGAAAATTACAGATTGGCAAAGTTCTGTGTATACAGCTGCTGGAGAATTGGTTTTAAAGCATTGAATTGTACGGTGAAAAGATGAAAGAAGATTAATATTAAACTGTATACTTGGTATATCTGATGCTTAAAATATTAATATAAAATTTGGTTTCTTGAAGGTTCTGCAAATCAGCAAGACTTTTCTTTAGGAAAAAATGAAGATTTGGGAATAATTCAGGAGAAGTCGACCAAAAGCCTTGTTATAGGTCCTCTTGACTTTCGCTTGGATAGCAGTGCGGTACATAGAATTTTGAAAATGATTGTTTGTGCCTTGGAACATGAATATGAACCATATAGCAGGCTAAAGCCAGGTTTGTTTTTGACTTAATTTTGAATCTCTTGCCGCTTGATTTGAATGATTATATAATCCAATTTGTCATATTTTGCTAACTTACCCTTTTTAGTATATTTTGCCTAACTTTCATGTATTTAGTTAATTTGAAGAATAAAGTTGTGTGTGGAAGTTATGGGAGAGGTCAAGACTTGGAAATTATTTGCATAAGAATCTATTTGCTGATATTTGTCAGTATTTTATTGTCACATCTTTTTGAAACTCTTTCCATTGCTCTTAAAATGTGACCCTTTTCCCACATTAGTGGATTCTAAAGAACAGACATGAAGATGGGCTCTAAACATATAAATTTAACATTCAAGAAAACTTATGGCTTACTGGTAAAAACGAATTTGCTGTACAATGAGGTTTTTTTCTACATGGTATGAAGATATGGTTATCACAATTTCATAAAATAAAAATTCCTTTTTATGTAATAAATTACTCTAGAGTAGGACATCCTAGCACAATGACGAGTAAAGGATTTTAAAGAACTCAGCCTTTGGGGTCAGACTGTGGAAATTTAATTAACACCAATGATTTTGTTCCTCTTGGTTTAAATGTGTTTATTTATTTATTTTTTAAAATTAATTATTTAATTTTTCATTGTAAGTTTCAGGTGTACAGAACAATGCAATAGTTATCCTTTTCACCCTTCACACAGAAACAACTCCCCTCCCCCATCTACTGCCCTCCCACCCCTGATATCAT